TGCTACACTGCCCCCCCCTCAAGAGTGAAGCTGTCCCCAGCTTCTCGTCAACCTCCACCGCAGCGATTTCAACGGTGTTGTCAACTGGGGGTGGCTCGCAGTACACAAGGGGCTCGTCCTCATCTTCCTCCTCTGGTCGATACGGCTTCAGTTTGTTAAAATGTACTGTGAAACCACGACCGGGGGAATCAGCAGGGCCGCGAACTACGCACGTGGCCTCGCTAAGCACCGAGTCAACTACATATGGACCTTCCCACGCTTGTTGCAACTTTCTACCTTCTCCCGCGGTAGAAGGTATAGCTACCCAGACTCGGTCACCTTCTTCGACTGGCGCGCCATACGCCGCTTTATCATAATAATCTTTTTGCCGTTTATGTGCCAAAACTAGTTGTGATCGGGCGGTTTCGAATGAACGACGAAGCTGCTGTCGCAGATCAGCAACATACTCAGAGGAGCATCTGTATTCGGCTTCTCGGGGTCGTGGTGACATATCATCAGCTGGTAACCTTAACTGATGCCCAAAAGTCATTTCAGCTGGAGTCAGGCCTGTGGATGAGTGTACAGCAGATCTATACGCCAAAAGACAGGCCGGTAAAGCTTCATCCCACTGGTGAAGCGCATATTTATCCAGATGCAACTTTAGAAGTGTCTTAAGCGTCCGATTCGTCCTTTCTACCTGCCCATTCCCTTGAGGATGATAAGCCGTTGTACGACTTCTATAGATGCCTAACACATCACACAGCTCCGAGAGCAATAAGCTTTCAAACTGAGCACCCCGATCCGTGTGAATCTGATATGGTACCCCATGGTCTGCTACCCATCCTGCCACGAACCCTTTCGCCACCGACGCGGCATCCGCCTTTCTTAGGGGTATTGCATTGGCCCACTTAGTAAAGTAGTCAACCATAACCAGGATATACCGGTAGCCGTTCGCCGTTTGGGGAAGAGGACCCATGAGGTCCAGCCCAACTAACTCATTGGGGAATCCTGCTGTCATAGGTTGGAGTGGGGCCTTGGCCGCACGAGGTGGCGCCTTCACTTCCCCACACCGACGACATCTTGCGCACACATCGTTGACATCCTCTCGCATGGCAGGCCACCAGTAACGTTGACGCACCGCCTGCTCTACTTTAGCTGGTCCCAGGTGCCCCAAACTAACATGTAGCTCGATCACGATTTGCTCCACGGCGGACCTTGGAACTACCACACGCAAAGGGTACGATGGTCCAAACTTATAGTATAGGACACCATCCCTAAAACTAAGATTATTCCAAGCAGACCAAACCACACGCACTTCTTGGCTGCTTCCTGCCATCTCCTTGTCTGTAGGCTTGGGAGAGCCCGTGCGCTGCCTATCGTATATGAGGCTTATGTAGGGATCTTCCGATTGAGCTGCACCCCAATTCTCAACCGTAGTTTGTTCCATGGAGATGGCGGCTACGTCTACAGTACGTTCCGGAATCCTAGACAAGGCATCCGCGTTCTCATGCTTTTTTCCAGGACGATACTCAACCTTATAGTTGAATTGGCTTAGCACCTCCAGCCATCTGGCAATCATGCCCGAAGGTTCCTTGAAGTTATGCAACCACCTGAGAGCTTGATGGTCCGTACGTACCACAATCTTATTGCCCAAAAGATAGTGCTTATAGTGCTCTAAAAAGAACTTTAAGGCAAGCATTTCGCGTTTAGTAGTGCAGTAATTGCGCTCAGCCTTTGACAAAGCTCGGCTGCCAAATGCGATAGGATGTTCTAAGCCATCAGATTGAACCTGTGAAAGTACCGCCCCAATCGCTTTGTCTGACGCGTCCGTATCTAAAATGAACGGAGGGCGATCTTTGCCCACATTAGGAAAGGCCAGTACTGGAGCCGTGAGCAGACAAGCTTTGAGGTCGCAGAAGGCCTGTTGACACTGATCCGTCCATGCCCAGGATCGTCCCTTCTCCGTAAGTTTATGAAGTGGCGAGGCGATCTGGGCGAACCCTTTAACAAACCTACGGTAATACGTTGCCAATCCTAGAAAACTCCGTAGTTGTTCTACGTTGGTTGGTGTCAGCCATGTCCTAATTTTTTCCGTTTTATCCGGATCCGTTCTGATGCCTTCCTTAGAGACAACGTGGCCCAAAAACTTAACCGACTCCCTGAAGAGAGTGCATTTCTTTGGGTTCAGCTTAAGTCCCGCCCCACGAAGACGTTCAAAAACATTACGCAACCTTCTAATGTGCTGCTTGACGTCCTTTGCGTGGACAATCACATCGTCCATATAAACCAAGCACTCCTGCGGTACCAGGCCTCGTAGGACTGTGTTCATAAGTCGTTAAAACGTTGCGGGGGCATTGGCTAAGCCGAAGGGCATAGTCTCGAATTCGTACAACCCGGACGGAATTACGAACGCCGTCT